ACAGAGAAAATACTGGAACACGTTAAGCATGAATTATGTCAGATTTAACTTATAGTTCTGAACGAAGCTTCCTATTCGCCGGCTTCTTGTTCGAATCTTCCCGTTCCACCTTAAATGGTGCAGCAGTTACACCATTTAAGGAGGGACGGGTTAATTCGAACAAGAAGCCGGCGAATAGGAAGCTTCGTTCATTCACATATATTAGTGCAAGGGGGCACTTACTTTTGCGAGGTTGGACCGGTCTTTTAGTGAGGTTCTGCGCACCCGGGCTCTGACTGACCCCCTCCGCCGCTCCGTTGCCCCTCTGCTCGGCTGGAAATGACAGTAGCGCGCGCCGGAAAGCAGTCTCGAGGCTGGTACGTCACGCGCAACGTGACGTCACGGCTTAGACCTATGGTTTGCAGCGTGATGCAGTTGATCTGATAGTGAAATTCAGATTCAGGTAACAAAGACCGACCAGGCATAACATTATGACCACCTGCTTGTTTCTACGCTCACTGTCCATTTTATCAGCTCCATTTACTAGGACCCCCATGGACCCTCACAGAGCAGGTACTATTTGGGTGGTGGATCATTCTCAGCACTGCAGTAACACTGACGTGGTGGTGGTGTGTTAGTGTGTGTTGCGCTGGTCTGAGTGGATCAGACACAGCAGTGCTGTTGGAGTTGTTAAACACCTCAGTGTCACTGCTGGACTGAGAATAGTCCACCAACCAAAAATACCCAGCCAACAGCGACCTGTGGGCAGCGCCCTGTGACCACTGATGAAGGACTAGAGGATGACCAACACAAACTGTGCAGCAGCAGATGAGCTATCGTCTCTGACTACATCTACAAGGTGGACTGACAAGGTAGGAGTGTCTAATAGAGTGGACAGTGAGTGGACACAGTGTCTAAAAACTCCAGCAGCACTGCTGTGTCTGATCCACTCATACCAGCACAACACACATTAACACACCACCACCACATCAGTCTCACTGCAGTGCTGAGAATGATCCACCACCCAAATAGTACCTGCTCTGTGAGGGTCCATGGGGGTCCTGAGCACTGAAGAACAGGGTAAAAGGGGGCTAACAAAGTATCAGAGAAACAGATGGACTACAGTCTGTAACTGTAGAACTACAAAGTGCACCTATATAGTAAGTGGAGCTGATAAAATGGACAATGAGCGTAGAAACAAGGAGGTGGTCATAATGTTATGCCTGGTCAGTGTAGGATAGTGTGTCACAGTGTGTTAACGGGTGCCGGCCAGAAAACAACACATTAAAAAAAAGATGGTTCTTCAAGTGTTCTTTAGTACGTAGGTCTATACAGAACCATGAACAGTCGCCTTTTTTGGTTTTCCACTAGGCAAATCTGGTAGTTGGTACCAGGTACTATTTTTGGTAACACCTCTATCGAGGTCCCAATGCAAGCTGAGCCAATACCAAAAGGTGACGTAACCACGCTGCAGACTACTGATTGGTCGAAAAGAATTGCTAAACACATATAGCTAACGTTAGCTACCAGGTTAGCACAGCCTCTTGTGTCGCCTTTTTATGAGTGACCAGAATCGTCTCGTCCTCTGAAATAATATTTTCCAAACTCTGCTGTTTTTCTCAGCACTCTTTTGTTACCATGAGCTTCTTCTTCATGTCTCGGCAGTTTCATTTGGCGTCGCTATGACGACCAACTACATTGAGGGGATACTATGGACCACTGTAAGGAGTTAAGGAGTTGTAGGCCTACCTAGAGGTTTTACTTACAGGCATATCTATAAAAACATTTTGATAAGGTAGCACAACTTGTCAGGACACCACCAGGGCCCATCTTACTTTCGTGTAGTTTAGTGACATCAAATTGATGCACAGTAGCTTTAGCTTGCATAGCTTGCAGCGTTATTAGTATTAAGGCTCTTTAACCACTTCGTAATTCAGAGGATTCAGTGATACGATGAGAAAAATGTACAGCGGACAAAACGTATCGGGTTCTGAACATTTTAATTAACACGGTACGATAGAGGCGATTTTCCGAAAACCCCACTCATTTTGGACATAGAGAAATTAAGCAGAATGAGTGCGTTTACATGCACTCAATAATCCGATCATAGTCGGATTTCTGCAGTTATCTGATTTCTCAAACGGTCATGCAAACAGCACACTCCGATTTCTTAGATCGGAGTAAGGTCTAGAAATCCGATTAGGAAATCCAATAAAGAGGCTGGATTTTAGCTCAGTAATCAGATTTCTCAGTGCATGTGAACTCTTACTCTGATTTCTTTCGGATTTCTCAGTCTGAGCATGTGTGAAAACAGACGGTGGTACTGGAAATAAGTGATTGCTTTGAAACGCAGCAAAATGCTTCTGAAGCTAGGCAGAAACCGACTACATGCTTGATGAAATGAAGGATTTAAAAATTCTTCATCTTCTAGATGATTTATGTTCATATTTTCAGCTAAAGTGGTGCAATGTTTAAAAAAAAGCTGTGGTATGAAGTTTGAGTTTTACATTACGTCATGATATCGTCTAGAGTTTATTGGCTGGTTGCAAAGCAGAAATCTGATTACTGTCTGACTCATGTAGACCCCCATTATCTGATTACTCAAGTGCATGTAAACGCGTTGGTCGGATTACTGACAAAATCAGATTTTCTGTAGTTTTTAGCAGATTAATAAGTGCATGTAAACATACTCAATGACACACGACTACAGTGGTCTATATCTGCAGAGGAAAACGATGAGGCTGGTACCAAAAGCGAGTAGAGTCGTGTCGAGCTGTACCACACAGTGGAAAAGCCGCTCAAGAATCCTTGGCGTGATCAAAGGGTTCTTCGCATCGTGAAAGGGTTCTTCAGATTGATGGAGAATGTGCTGTAGATGGTTCTACATAGAACCTTTTTGAAAAGGGTTCTATATAGCACCAAAAAAGGTTCTTCTATTGTTATGATGTCAAGCTTGTTCAAATAGAAGAACCCTTTTTGGTGCTATATAGAACCCTTTTCAAAAAGGTTCTATGTAGAACCATCTACAGCACATTCTCCCATCAATTCTCACATAAAAATCTGGTGTAACTTCATCCACCCACTGAGCAGTCAGGCTGAACAATGACGTCAGGCCTACATTACATGTCCAAACTGCTGCTTTGGAAAAGGCTTGTAGCCGCCTGCGTGTGACACGAGACGAGATTAAATAGGTTGGTAATGTGTAATTCTGGTACCGTGACGTCCGAGAAGTATGGCCCATTGTGAATTCTGGGCTCATGTCTGAAGTTTCTGAAACCTCCATCCTCAACCACAGAAAACAGCTGGTCACTGGCCGACTGAACCCTTTTGAAAAGGTTTCTATATAGCACCGAAAAGGGTTCTTCAACTGTTACCTGCTTGACATCGTAACAATAGACGAACCCTTTTCAAAAATGTTCCAGATAGGACCGTCTACAGCACATTCTCCATCAATCTGATGAACCGTTTTATGATTTTCTGAGTGTTCATGGTTCATTGTACCATTTTCTTTACTTGAGAACCTTTGAAGAACCATCTTTTTAAAAGATAGAACCCTTTTCGGTGCTATCTAGAATAATTTTCAAAAAGGTTCTATATAGAATCTTGGACAACACATTCTCCATCAATCTGAAGAATGATTTCAACATTCGTAGAACAATTTTAGAACCATGGAAAGGGTTCTATAAGTGCTCATGTTTCCATATCCCATTTTCTTTACCGAAGAACACTTGTAGAGCCATCTTTTTAAAAGATAGCGGAATCCTTTTTGGCGCTATGTAGAACCATTCTCAAAGAGGTTCTATATAGAACCATAGACAACACATTTTCCATCAATCTGAAGAACCATTTCACCATGCAAAAACCCTGTAATCATGCAAAGGGTTCCCTCGGTCTTTACTAAAGAACCCTTGTAGAACCATCTTTTTAAGATAGCAGAACTCTTTTTGTTGCCATATAGAATCGTTTTCAAAAAGGTTCTATATAGAACCATATAAAACACATTCTCAATCAATCTGAAGAACCATTTTACCAGTCATAGAACCATTTAAGTATGAAATTTTTAGTGTTCATAGTTCCATATACCATTTTCTTTACTGAAATATCCTTGTAGAGCCAACTTTTTTAAGACAGAAGAACCCTTTTTGGTTTTGTGTAGAACCATAGACAACACATTCTCAATCAATCTGAAGAACAATTTCACCATGCAAAGAACCATTTAATCATGCAAAAGGTTCTTTGACTGTTCATGGTTCCATATACCATTTTCTCTATTAAAGAACCCTTGGAGAACCATATTTTTAAAGATAGCAGAAACGTTTTTGGTGCTATACAGAATCATTTTCAAAAAAGTTCTATATGGAATCATTAACAACATTCTCCATCAATCTGAAGAACCATTTCACTATGCATAGAACCATTTAAGCTAAGCCTGCAAATGGTTCTTTGAGTGTTCATGGTTCCATTTACTATTTTTTCTTCTAAAGAACCCTTGAAGAACCATCTTTTTGTAAGATAGCACAACCTTTTTGGTGCTATATAAAATAATAAACGGAGACAACATGTTCTCAATCAATTTGAAGAACCATTTCACCATGCATAGAACCATTTAATCATGAAAAGGGTTCTTTGCATGTTCATGGTTCCATATACCATTTTCTCTATTAAAGAACCCTTGGAGAACCATCTTTTTTAAGATAGCAGAAACGTTTTGGTGCTATATAGAATCATTTTCAAAAAGCTTCTATATAGAAACAGAGACAACACATTCTCCATCAATCTAAAGAACCATTTCACCATTCATGGAACTATTTAAGCATGAAATGTTCTTTGGGTTCTATACAGAATCATTGTCTTTACTACAGAACCCTTGAAGGACCATCTTTTTAAGACTGTAGGTCTGACCTCCATGTATCCAGTCTATCGATGTTACAGAACAGACTGGATTGAAACTGAACTGAATACGGTTCTTGTGAACGCAGCACTGATGGTGAAACAAACGCATGAGGATTCATGTCAGGAGCTCCTGTAGAAACATAGCAGTGATTTTTATTGTTTTCATTTGCGATACCAATATAAAACCATCACCAACACACCACAAAGCGCGCAAGCAATCTTGAGCCTGTCCTTTAATTGTGAAACACTGGCATAATATCTCACAGTTCCCGTCTACGTTCATCACAGACACTTCCATGAGTTGCTCTTTCGCTTGGTTCTAGTTCAAAGGTCACCTTGCAAGTCAAGCAACAGTATAAGACCTGGAAGATTTGGGAACACAGTGCAATCAGACCATATAAGATCAAGAAAAGGAGAAAAAAAAAAACATAGAAAGAAAAATCAATGCAATGATCTATAAAACAGTCCACTCATAATAAAAGTCGTCATTTAGGCGTCAATACAGATACAGTGACTTGCATTAATAGACACATTCCGGCAAATAATGTAAGTTAAATGTGTTCGTTATCGCACTAATGACGGAAAGTCGTAGAGAACACTCAATAGCTACATTTCCAAGAGTTTTAGAGCTTCAAAATGAAGCATACAGTCGTGTGCGAAAGTTTGTGCACCCCGGTCAAGTTGATTTTCTAAGTGTGAACAAGTGAAGACATCCTAAGAGAACACACTTCGGCCCATTTTAATGCACAATTACTGTTTATTTACTGAATTTAACATTAAAAAAATGTGGTCTGTGTGAAGGTTATGGCACACTTTATACTGTATGTATTGTTTTTTCCCCCCAATATGTTAAACTCAGCAAATAAATAGAAATTGCGCACTAAAATGTCCAGAAAAGTTATATTTAAGCTTCTTCCCAACATATTTTTACTTAGAAGTCAATAAAAAGGGTAAGTTTTACTGAGAGCGTTTACAAACTTCTGCACACAACTGTGCACTTTTTAAAAGGAAGCTGCTAGTAATACTTTACAAATGTCGACAAAACCCAAAACTTTAGTGAAAAAATGGTCGATTCTTAAAATGTTGCGAAAATCTATACTGAAAACTTTTTTTTTTCCGAGGAATAAAACTTTGTTCACAAATATTAATTTATGCGTAAATTCTGTGAAATGTGACCGATGTCAACCCACATAAAGACAAGAGGTTTGTAAAAGAAATGCTGCCTCTTTTTTAGCACTTACAGAGAGAGATGTCAGAAAAAAGCTACAGCTTTTCTAAATGGAAAGTGCTCAAACAGCTCAAATGGTTTACAACAGTAATAAAATAAAAACAAATAAATAAACAAAATGTCCTTAATATAATAATCAGTTATGGGGATGTCAGTGAAGCCAAAGCTACATGAGTTGTGATGTGCATGAAATTAGAAATGGAAATGTGTCGAACACAAAGTTTTTTTTAATTGATAAATCAAAATCTAAGCAGTTTTTTTTTGCACAAAATGACATTTTATCACCAAAAATACCTGAAATTTGGTGGAAATGTAGCTATAGAGGTTTTCTAAATATACGCTATGGCACTTCACTCAGCCTGTGAACGGGTTGCCGTAATGACCAGTAATGTTCAGTGCGCCATTGAAAAAGTCAGCAGGAGCAAAGTATGTGTAGATGACATAACACAGAATGGACATGTAGTCCAGCATTGTAAATCTGCATATCTGCTATTACAGAAGAACGGTTTATTAGGCTGTTATCTTCATCACGTCCTCTGAGAGCTACACTGTAGGATATTGCATTATTGAACATGGCTTTGCACTCAGCGAACCTTCCTGCTGTCACACATGGCATAGTGAGTATCATCATGTAGCCCTTGATGTCTGAAACGCAGCTAGAGTCAAGGTTACACCAAAACACAACCACCGAAACGAAAGTGACGTTAAAATAACTGCAGTTCGAACACTGAGTCACTCTGTTTACCTGATTGGACATCCTTGTAAAGTGGGACAGCCTCTGACTTGGCAAATGAAGTAAAAATCAATGTGAATGAAAGTCACGTTTGGATGGTGCAATTATACTGTAGTGGATCTAAAGCACTTGGAACCGTCACAGAGCACACGGCAACACTGATAACACTGATAGTATCTGACGTGTAACCGAAGGTCACTGAGCTTAAAGTCAGTGTGTATTGCAGTTTTCGAACTTTGACTTTTGACTCTGAGGAAGCAACTCAGTATTAAAAACCTGAACAGGTGTTATTAGGTTTCACGGTTGGACTGAGAAATGTTTACCTGAAATTAGGCTTTAAAAAACTGCGCACAAAATAAAAACCTTCCTCTGTAACTTTGCCTGATGACATAATTTCCACATGGCTTATTAAAAGAGATTAACATTATATATACAGTGCTGTGCAAAAGTCACCCTTCATTTATTTAATTCCAGTCAAAACAGCCATAGAATACAAGTTGTTCACGTTTCAGGAGATGTTTCTGAGGAAATTAGCTGTAAAACTATCAACCTGCGTAAGTAAGGAGAACGTCAAAGGAAAATAAGTGGAAAAAACAGTTCCCAAAAATTGAGTTCAAAAAATGATTAGTAGCTCTAGAGAAAATGGGACTCCTAACAACCACCTGGAAGACCTGGTCGACACCAAAGATAAACAGCACTTAAAGCTTTCATCTTTGAGAGAGAGGAGAAAATCAAGCTGCTTCAGATCTGAAAACATCCACAGGTGTTTCTGTCCATCCTTCCACTGTGAGAAGACGACTCAGCTCTGTGAGTCTGAAAGGATGTGTAGCTGTTCAAGAAGAACCTCACTGAGAAAAGGAGACAGACATCAAACAAAGAAGCTGAACGATGGACTGACCACCCCAGAGTCCAGACCTCAACATCACTGAACGTGTTTGATTACTTCAGAAAATGATCAACCAGCTTCTAAGACTGAACGTTGGAGATTCTTTGAGAAGCTGAAAGTGAGTCTCCTGAAAAGAAGGGAAGCTGGAATAAAAGCAAAGGGTGGACACAACAAATACAGACAAATTTCCATTCTGAGTTAAAAACGGCCTGAATGGCCTTTTTGACTGTAAATATTAAATAAAGGAAGGGTGATACTTTGCACAGTACTCCATTATATATATATGAAATGTACTCACACAGTTTGGGTTTTCAGGTACAAAAAAATAAAAAGAACAACAAAAATGAAATACGCAATATTTGTGTATAGCTGTATGCAAAAGTTTGTGCACCCTCAAATGACATGTTTTGTTGATTTTCTAAGTGAAAACCAGTTAAAACATCCTCTACAGAGAACACACCTCTGCACATTTTAATACACAATTACTGTTAATTTAACATTAAAAAAAAATGTGGTCTGTGCAAAATTTATGGCACATTTTAGACTGTATGTTTTATTTTTCCCCAACCTAAACTCAGCAAGTAAACAGAAATTACGCATGAAAATTTCCAGAAAATTGTCATATTTATGCGTAATTACTGTTTATTTGCTAAATTTTACATTTTGGAGAAAAAATAAAGCATCAAATGTGTCCTTTTTAAAAGTCATGGCACATTTTACATTTTGAGTAATCTTTCCCCCAGTATGTTAATCTCAACAAATAAACAGAGGTTGTGCATTAAATTCTCAGAAAATGCCATATTTTAGTGTGTTCTCTGCAGACAATGTGTTCATTTATTTTCACTTAGAAAATCAATAAAACGTCATTGTGCAGGAGTTTTCAAACTTTTGCATACGGCTGTATATGTGTGTGTATAGTTTTGCATGAAATAAAACTATATAAAATATAAAATAGTAAACTGCATTGACACCTCATTCTCTGTGTAGAACCGTGCTTGTTGCAGTTAACAGCAACCGTCGCGAATTTTACTCCAAAATAAGTGTAAGTGAAAAAAAACAAGGTCCTCAATAATGAAGTCAATCCTTGCCAACACTTCAAAAAAGGCTATCTAAGAAGGGTTCTGTACGTTTCTATACATTCTTATACGCAGTGAATATTACTGAAGTGCAATCAGTTGCAGTGGTCCTGGTCTTTTACAGCACGTAATAGTCATAACAATACAGATAGGGGATTGTTGCCGTAGACACCGTAATTCGAAAGCGTCAGGGGGTCCCAGTTCATTGGCTGAGGTTCTCTAGGTCCCACCATGTGCTCAGTGATGTATTGCGGGAGGTTCCTCTCAGAACAGCGGCCATAGCTGCTTCGGCTTAGCTGCTGTTTGACTGACAGCCGACAACTGTTCCAAAGCTCATGGGGGGTGACAAAGTGGGGGCGGAGCCTTCGGGGGAGGGCAGAGTGACGCAAGCAGCTGATTCCTCTTGGACACCCCCAAACACTCACATTACACAAATATCACCTGGCCTCCCCCACACACGCGCATGCACACACCTGCCTGGCTGGACGTGTGTGTCGTGCGTTATACGGGGGGAGGGGGGGCTGGTCTCTGGGGCAGAAGTTGAGCAGCCGGAGGGGGCGGCCTGTGTGGGGAGAGAGAGAACGTTCCAGAAGTCAGGGTCCAAACAGTACTTGGACACATGGGTTTTGAATTAAAGGGCTCGTATGACAGACAAACAAAATTTCTCACTTTTTTAAAGAAGAGTCAGTTTAGAATGTAAACACTGTAAAGTTTACATTCCCTGTTAACTCCCTGGTAGCTTGAGTTTCCATATATGGCCATTTGGAATTCACTGTTTTCGTGATGCCCCAAATACCAACACGTATACATACGTTTACATACGTTCTCTTAGTTTAGCAGCACTCATTCACACTGAATGTTTCAGCCTGGACTGCTTTTTAAACAAGGCACAATTCAGAGCAGCCAGTCAGAACAGAGATCATATATATAGTCTTAAAAGTACTGAAACAAAATTAGTCTGTTTAAAAGGTATTAAGAGAGTTTTGGAACTGGTCATGTAAAAATTAGGTACGACTTGTTTTTGTTTTTAATACATAAACCTACACAAACTTTATAAGTCGACCTTAAAATGCACGAAATGTGTAAAATATGGGCCTTTAAACACTGCGATTATTTATACCTCAACATACGAATATAAATACAGCTCACGGCTGCATAAAACTCCATAAATACCAAATAATACAAAAACACAAAAAAGTAAAGCACAATAATAAGAATTCATTGTTAAAGGGTCCCTGAAGTCCATGTATAACCAGTTTTTGAACCAGTCGTAATTCACTGTTACATGACCATTTTCCAACCTCTCTTTATCCCTTAGATTAAAACAGTTTTTGTTACTGTGCCTTTATCTGTTGTGACTGGTGGTGCTTTATTGCACCTCATTCAAAAAGCAGTCTGGGCTGAAACATTCCTGATAACTTCAGTGTGAATGGGTGGAGCTAAACTGCTGCACACTGAATAGGAGGATAAATGTAAATGTGTTACTATATATACACTATACACTCCCTACTATACATGGACTGTATGGACTGGTGAGTGAACCAAGGAAGGAAAGGAAAGGAAAATTTGGTTTTCCATCAAACGGGCCCTTTAATGATCACATCCCATAACAGTGTGCTTTAGGTAAAGAATATTTTGTGTGTAGTTGAGTTGCTATGAGGGTTAATTCATAATTATATTTTGAGCTTGTATCTTCATTAGTTTCTGAATTACAGGGGCTTTAAAAAGTGATTATGGCTGTAACTTCTGGCTAAAAAAAAAAAGTGCTACAGAAAAACGTATAAAAGTTACTTTTTTTTTTGAAACACTGATTCTAGATGCATGAAACTTCTGAGGAGTTCTGTGGTTTAAGGTGTGTTTAACTACCAAAACCGAAGATACAGAGATATGTGTTTACCTTTTTATATACGTACATACACTCGGATTCAAAACTTTGTAGTCTTTGCTGTAAAAGCAGTATGTGGGTAGATAAATACATACATTATTCTTATATACTACTGTGCACCTTCACAAGTTTATGCAATTACAAGGAATTAGTGAGAAGCTGTAAATAAATGAATAAATCACTTAAGTTACTTATGAAATGTTAGACCTGAACGTGTCCTGAATAATGACCAGAGCTGTAGATTCTAAAATGACTGCATGAAGCTACAATAAAATAAACATCTATACTGCCTTGTATTTCAAAAGTTATAATCTTGAGGCAATTTGACCGAAAAAAAATCTGTAAATAAATAACTGCAGTATATTATTTTCTTGAATAACTTATTGTTGTTGCCAAAATACTTGAAATATTGACTAAAACATGTAAAATTACTTATTGAATTGTTAAAGAGTATTTAAATCGTTTTTGTTTAAGTTACTGTATATAAAATAATCAATAATATTCAAATGAAATATGATTCCAAACATTTGAACACTAAATTTTTTTTTTATCTGAAGCAACTTTGGAGCACTTTATATCTCCCCACTCAGAACGTGTCTATTATTTAACACAATGTATTATTTCCCATGATAAGATTGTTCTAATATTTAACGGCTCATAAATCAGAAACCTAACAGTTAACCTAACAGTTTAAGACTAAGACTTAATTAACAAGAAGCCTGTAAAATGAGCAGTAAACATAAAAACACTGAAAGATCTGACGCACTTCAGTGTGGAGATATCATGGAGGAATATTAATGCATCTAACATCGGTAGTTCACAGGTATTAACTTACGAATGCCAAGGCATTCATTTTAGGGCCACGCCCACTTTTTTAGAACCTGTATATCTCAAATCCTAATAAAAATACTAGCAAAAATTTAAACAATAGCTACTGGAGATAATATAATATCTTCAATGTATCAAACTAATCTCAGTCGACTGGAAACGTTTTCTGAAAGTCTGGTAATTTAAAGAGAATTTACCCAAACTTTGAGTGACTATGAAATATTACCGTGAAAACGGAGGGCGTGGTGGTCGGGTGGCGTACGCTGGCGCTGACGAAGTCTTGCTTGTCTGAACCACCTGCAGAGAGAAAAGGTCATAAACACTTTATCTGCATACAAAAACCCCTCAAACCCCACCTCTCACACATCTATTCATTAGGAGAGATCAGTTTGAGATAACTGCCAAAGCGATCAGCAGCAGAGGCTCTGCAGCCCTGTCTTAATTCAATGGAGCGTAGTGAGGATATTCCAGTGAGGGTCAAACTTAATTACAGTGAGACTCACGGAAGCAGACCAGGACCACAGTGACCGCTAATGAAAACACTCTGTGCTGACAAAACAGAATATTTCACTGTATTTTACTTTCAAGCAAATTCAAGAGTAAATTTTATTTTGTTTATTTGTAAACAGTGTAAATGACTAGTGATGAAATCAGAGACCACCCTTCGTTTGCTTAATTTCCCGTCAACACGGCTGTGAAGTACAAGCTGACCAATTTTAGTGTCATGAAAAAGTACTAATATTTAGCAGGATACAACAGTGCAGATTAGTGTGTCCACCTTTCGGATTCCGTTCTTTTCAGGAGACTCACTTTCAGTTAATAAAAGAAATCTGCAGGAATGCTTTTCCACACCTCCGAAGTTCAGTCCGAGACGTTGGTCGCATTCTCTGCTTCAAAATCCAAATACTGGACACATTCAGTGGTGTTGAGGTCTGGACTCTGGGGGTGGTCAGTCCATTGTTCAGCTTCTTTGTTTGATGTGTCCGTCTCCTTTTCTCAGTGAGGTTCTTCTTGAACAGCTACACATCCTTTCAGACCCACAGCGCTGAGTCGTCTTCTCACAGTGGAAGGATGGACAGAAACACCTGTGGATGTTTTCAGATCTGAAGCAGCTTGATTTTCTCCTCTCTCTCAAAGATGAAAGCTTTAAGTGCTGTTTATCTGATGGGGGCAGTTTTGGTGTCAACCAGGTCTTCCAGGTGGTTGTTAGGAGTCTCATTTTCTCTGTAGCTTTTAATAAGACCAGTTTTAGAAACTCCTGTTTTTCCTGATATCTAATCTCTTCAGAAATATCTGCTGAAAAACGAACAACTTGTACTTCATGACTGATTGACTGGAAATTAAAAAAGTGAAGGGTGGTCACAGTATTGTATATAATATAACTGATATATTGCAATATTAAGTGAAGCAGATGTTACTGAATATTCCATGGTTTAGGATGTGTTATTTGATATAGAATTGGAATCTGTACATCGGTACGTTATAGTTATGTTGCAATATATCAGAACTGGAATATTTTATTTATTACGGGTTTATTATATTGTGAATTTACCATTCCTTGAATTCGGAGCACACATTAGACATTCATTTAGTTCTACACATTAACACAAGGCTGCTCCCTTGTATTTTGAACTGTAACTCACTGTGAATATCCTCATTACATTACACCTACATACACTTTAACCCATGTACCGTATAAAGCAGACAAGGCATAATCATTCACATTGAGGGAAGGAATTCAGGAGATCGAGGGAAATACAGACAAACAGAAGATCATGCATAAACAGAAAAGGTGGTTTCCTTCAGGTTCAGCTTCAGCCATGCTCAGTAAAGGCAGATTAGTCAGACTATTACCACAACAACCTAAAACCATAAGCGCACAGCAACAGAACCCCTCCACTCTGTCTGCACACACAAGAAAAAGTTTCATTTCTGAGTTGCTGTAAATGAATCCAATGAGGATGTGCAGAGGTTTAGACCGTCTCAGAGGGGTTTTGTGGCTGCGGAGGGGAACATCGTCCTTTCGGCACACAGATAATTAGACGGACAGAAAAGAAAAGAGGGCTGTGACGGAGCGCAGGAGCAGAGGAGGGGGCAGGACAAGCAGCTGCAGAGTCGTCCCGTGGAGCCAATTAAAGCCTGACCGAGTTAAATATACACATTCAAAAACATTTACCTCCTCAGGTGGCAATAACTGAGCCTGATGCTTCATGATAAACAGGAGAGAGAGAACAACGTTGGCATTACGAGTCAGTTTTAAGCTATGGGGAGATATTTAGAAGAAAGTGCTAGAAAGTGGTTTGTGGAATTAAAAGTTTCATCGATCTGAAAATACACAATAATTCAATGTTATTGGCTATTTATACAGCAATTCTTTGTCTCAAAATCTGATTGGCTGAACAGCTTTATATCTGTGTTATTACATTAGATGAAAGCACAATTTTCACCATGGCTGTAACGTTTCACCAGCCAACAGTTGCTAAGTAACAACAATTGTAGCTTTCCTCTAAGGTGATGGAGCTACCAGAGAACTTGTAGAGAGGAGATTTAACACTCTGTAATGTCTTCTATCTTTCTCAAACGCTAGAGGGCGCTTCTGAGTAAGTCCAAAATGAATGGAGCATTTGAGCAAAATTCATTTTAGTTTATAAATGCTTCAAACATTTTTAATATAAAAGAATACATTAATTTTCTGAACACAGAGCAGCATAAAACACTTTAACACTGCTGTTGTATTCTTGAGCGCTTTGGAACTTGAATTACAGGAGTTTAAAAAGGCGCCTCATGTTCGTTCATGCCATCAGTGAGCACGAACAGCCAATGAGCTGCTCTGCTCGCCAACCAATCAGCACTCAGTAACAGTAATGTTAGCGTCCTGCTGCCCAAAACCTGTTTGCTAGAGAAAAAAGGAAACATACAGGTGAGTTTCCTTTGCTTTTTTAGTGAAATACATTCTTCTACTTTATAAAAAGAAAGGAAAGTTCTGGGTGAGTGATTACGAACTACTTTAACTATTAGTTTTTAGCTGTTTAGCTCCTTTTACTCCCATTCATTGAGGACTCGCAAGGGGGCGCCCTCTGCTGTTGAGCAGTCCTGTTTTTGATATAACGAGGGAAATAGGAAGAGGCCAGGCTCCTCATAAACTGGCTCTGGAACTACATTTTGACAGAAGAAACTACTAATGCCTAAAATTGAAGAACATTTTCACTGTCAGAACTAAACCTTGTTTCTCCATGTTTTTTTTGGCTTTTTTTGCCTTTTTCTGTGTGAAAATTTCACAATGAATGGATCAGTTAACCATTACAAGCATTATATATTAAGATGTTTTTCCTTCTACGTCACAGTTACTGTTTGGAGCTTTTGTTCTGATAGTCATGATATATTTTAAAAAACATTCAGGGTTTCTTTGTCTTATTTTTTTCTTTATACTGCAAAAATGTTGTATGAAAGCAATATAACACTGACGATCACGTGCACTCACTTGTGTTCTACTATCGAGATGTTTATTGTCTGTCTTCTCAAAGTATGGATGCAACCTGCCTGACCAAGATGACCACGTTTGATACATGGAATACATGAGTTATAACTACACTAGACTATGTATTTGACTTAGAACTACACTAGATGTCCAAAAGTGTCCAGTCCACGGCTTCTATTTAGTGAATTCAGCTACTTTAAGGCACACCCATCGCTAACACAGGTGTTCAATGACCAAAAGACTGGGATGCTCTGGAGCCGCCTCACATGAGCCTAACGTCAACATGCCCAATGCAAAGAGTTGGCTAGAGGGGTATAAAGCCCCCCAGCATTGGGCTGTGTGGTTCTCTGGAGTGACGGAGATCCACCCAATATCTTTGGGATGAGTTGGAATGTCCAGAACTGATCATCCAACATCAGTACCTGACCTCACTAATGATTTGTTCACACAGCAGGTAAAAGTGGCCCAAATCTGATTTTTTCCTTCCTTTGTGGCACAGATGTGCTGTCTGTGTGCCAGGGTGAACAGCAAAGCGTCCAATTTGGGACACTTTCATATGTGGTACTGAAATTCGATACGTATCCAATATGCAGCAATGCAACTCAGTCTAAACAGCCAGATCTGAATTCATGTAACTTTCTTTCGTCAGTCTAACTCGACATCCGTTATCATTTCACGCTGCTGAGACCTCAGAAACATTTGGGGTGATGTTTTGTATTAGAAGACACTAAAGGGTTAAAGCGCGTTCTGGGCGACGAGCCCAGCTGTCAGCCTTCGGAACTTCTTATTAGCTCCTGTGATGCTGGTGAAGATGAAACCAGGACCTCCAGAAGTGGCTGTTACTGTTACATCCATTTTGATTGTTTACCTCTGGATGAGCCGCGTGAAGCAACGTGAAGCGTTGTTCTTTTGCGCATGCGGATCAGTTTAAGAGCTGATCTGTTCAGACTGATGTCACATACAGACCACATTTAAAAGATATTGTGAACAGCCAAACAAAAAAAATCTGATTTTGGTGAGAAAATCAGGTTCGGCCCACTTTTACCTGCTGTAAAGCCTTGAAGTATAGAGCAACTAATACCTTTGATTTCAGAAGAAACGCTGGATGAGCAGGTGTCTACAAACTTTTGGACATGTTGTGCATAAAAGCTAAGTCCAGCTCCATTTGTGGAACTAGCCCTGATAGTTACGCTGTGCTATTTGCTGTTCAAAATGGAGACAAACGCAGAAACAAGGCACATTTTCCTCACTACTCAATACAGATTAGTTACACACTACATCTACGGTTAACTCTGGGTTAGCTGTAAGTTTAGTATGTTTACTGAGGCGGTGTGTAGGTTAAGTGAGCACAGTGTGGTGACGTGTGAGAGAGACGAGCATATTTGCTGACTCACTCCATCTTTCACTATGCTGCTGGCGTTTCCTCGCTGATTTGCAGGGGTTCGGCTGTTGTTGGTCTGAGGCCTGCTGTCCGCTCTGCGCCAGCAAACAAACAAACACAAGTAAGACTCTGCAATGCATCAATATTTCAACAGAAAAAACTCATTTACACCATGAGCAGCAGTATTCAGTGACTTAAACTGTGGGCAGGACTCACTCGTAACCCTGAGAGCGTTTTTTCCTGCAGAAGCGTCGCTGAAGCTCATTCCTCCTGAAGAAGACGAAGAGACCCAAAGCCAGGAGAGGAAGAATGAAGAAAAAGAACACCAGCAGACCATCTCTTGTAGAGGTGTCTTTATCTGAGAGAGAGAGAGAGAGAGAAAGAGAGAGAGATTAAACCAATACTCCACTTCCACTAATGGGTATTTGCTGATTGGTTCCACTTTATTTCTCAGAATGTAGTTAAACAGCAAACGCTGCACTGCTTTATCAAACTTTATACACTTACTTAATAAAGACATTTAACTGCCTCAGTTTAATCAGCTACCTGAATGACCTCTGTAAGAAATAACTGCAGCTAAATGACCTTGAACAGTCCTACACAGTATCACGGAAACATTCCCCCTGGGAATTGTTTGGCAGCAGCAGCAGGAAACATTTCAGCAGCAGGTGTTGTGATACAAAAGGTCCACAAAGGGGAGCTAATGGGAAAGTGGATCTTGATTCTCTAAGAACTGTTTGACTGCATTCAAAATCACACGCTGCTGTACTACGCAGACTAAACTAACAAATGTGCCACTAATAATTATACTCTGTGTCATTCTCCACTTGGAGGGGAAACCATGTCACGAAGGTTGCAGGGCTTAAAAAGATGACTAATTTTCGGCACAGCTCCAAAAAGTCAGCATGTACATTTACACAGATGACCTTTAACACCTTTCCCTTATGATTTCTCTGATTTTTCTTTTTTGATCCTGTTTCATAGTCGCTCTGCATCTGTAAAACATCTCGAAACAAAACCAATTTTCAACATTTGAGAAACTATTTTTAATATAAAACAATATTTTTAAGAGGTTTGTATAAATTGTATAAATTCATGAAAAATAAAAGAAATTCATGTTTACCTTTTATATCATTAACATTACACTACATTTAAAAAATGCATTTTATTCTAAAAAATCATTTGTCAGAGATGTTGGTCACTGGTGTTATCAGGACTCTTATTTTACATTTTAACACAGTATTTTCAGCTCTATTAAACTGCCTCTTTGGGTCGAGGCTCATCAGAGAGGAAGCATCTCAAGTCTCAAGTCTACATTAGCTCACTACATTTCATTAATTTATTAATAATTTCGCTTATCAGGCAGCGCATAACTTCTATGTGTCACTGGTGTTATGTGCTTTAATGGCTGGGTAATTAAAAAAATTATTTTGTCCAAATAATGCCATAAAAATCATTTTTATTACTGATTTTAAATACACAAGGTCATCTGACCCATAATGAGTTGGCCAATTTACAGAATCCTCAGTTTTACCCAGAATGTCACTGGAGTCACCGTCACTGGTGTTACACCATATTCATACAATACCAGTGACTGTAAAATATGTTTGAATTAAGCTCTCCTTTTGGCATATATATGATAATAGGAGGTGTTAATGGACATATTAAGATTATTTAGTTTTGGGATGAATGAAACTAATTTTTAAAAAAATGTATCCACCTAAATTCCCACTCCAAATGGAGAGCGACCCATTTAGCAGAGAAAGATGCAGTTTTGTAGACTAATATTGTCTCTTATGAAGCTTAGCATTGGAATGAAGAACCTGCCCTGATCCTTTTGGTCAAAATAATGCAGGCTTATATTTACCCACATTAAGGGCTCACAATGCGTAATATTTAGCAGTATGCCTACCATTCCAGGTGGGTCCGCTGTCTATGCTGCCGCCGTAGCCTGCAGATTCACAATGTGGAGGTTCCCAGCCATTGTCACAGTGGCAGTTTTTATTGCTGTTACATACCTACGGTCAATAAACAACACATATATAGAGTAAACGTTTATTATTTTTGAGTCTGTGCGTTTGTAAGATATCGTAATTGTGGGTTACGTATTATAATGGGCACTCACCCCGTGGCCGTGGCATTTCTTCTCTACATCGCAGTCATAGTTCAGCACGTCTGCACTTCTGCACTCGTAGTTTTGGCAAACCTGTAAACATATCAGACAATAAAATAAATCAGCAAACTGCTGACTGGCTTTCGGCTTAAACATGATATCGGCTCTTATCTGCCTGCGTTTTACACACAGCTCCTCGGTCTCCGCTCCGCTGTTCATACGCGACTCTCCGCCTGTTTCTCCGCTCTTCTAGTGCTCTGATTGGCTGTTGTTTGAATCCCTCGTTGAGTAAGGCTATGTTCACATTACCAGGTTAAAGTGGTACAAATCCTATTTTTAGCCCTAATGTGACTCGGATCTGATGTTTTCAGGGCTGTGTGGACGCAAATCTGATCCGTTCAAATCCACCTGAGCCACTTTCATATGTGGTCCTGGATCGGATACGTATCCGATTCGTGGCCATGCGACCTTAATGTGACGCTCAGATCTGATTTCATGTGCTTTTTTTGCACTGCGCTGCGCCATCATTCAGCGTTACCATGGCAGCAGCGCCGAACGGAAGTTAAAGCCTGTAAACGGTTGAAAAGCAGCTCATCTCACCTTTTTCTCCTTCGTCTCTCTCTAATAATGAAGCTGAGAGCTGATCAGAGTTAATTATCTTCAGCGAAGCTCGTTCTGCTCGTTAGTTTGTGCTGATGATGCACGTGATTCATTCACAGACGTTACTGAGTAGGAGGTGCGCATGAGGGTCATTTCAGGACGCCGGTTCGTCACATTAATGACAGATTTGAGTCACTTACCTAAACGAGTGTGAACCATCCTGTCAGAGAGATCGGATTTGAGCGAAAAATCGGATTTGAGCAATGAGGCTTGTAATGTGAACGCAGCTTAAATCTCTGACCATCTCACACTGCAGGCCTTGTGAACGTTTCGAGTCATAAATATCAAACATCTGATAATATCGGAGGGTCTCCGGTCACTTCAGAGTTCGATCGGAGGGCTAAAGATTCACTCGTTTCTCCGCTCACACCCGCGCCACCAGCCACTTCAGATCGAGCTCCCGACCTGGAAAATCGCTTCAGGTTGTGAAAATTTGTCGCAAGGGGCAAATCGATCTTAAAATCAGGGAAAAAAATCGTGTAGAGCTGTAACAGTTCACAAAATTCATAAATCGATTCACTATAATATGGTGGTGCCACAATTCGATACAGCATAAATAAGCTGACACCAACAATGTGCTTTATGTTAATATGTTGATGTTTATGGTGCATGGTGACGCAGGGGGTAGCGCTGTTGCCTCAAAGCAAGAACGGCCTGGGTTTGATTCCCTGGCCAGGTGACCAGCATCCTTTCTGTGTGGAGTTTGTATGTTCTCCCCGTGTCGGTGTTGGTTTCCTCCCACAGTCCAAACACATGAAGTCAGGTCAATTTGACACACTAAACTGCCCCTAGGTGTGAGTGTTAGTGAATGTATATGTCTGTCTGTCTGCCCTGCGATGGACTGGTGACCTGTCCAGGGTGTATCCTGCCTTCCACCCCGTGACCCAGAAGGATAAGCGGCTTAGAAGATGTGTGTGTTAATGTTTATATTTTAGTTTATAAGAGCACTCAAAATCATAAAAATACAATCGAGTCCCGTTCTAACGCTCAATGTCAGCCTCAATCTAGCACACTAGACTCAAGACAGTATTAAGATCTGCTAGTCACGATACAACAATACAACGCAATTTAAGTCAATATAATCCGATATGCTGCATTATTATCTCTAATTAAAGTAGCGATATGCCTCTGTTTACATACTGAACATTAAAACTACTGGGCACAGGACTTTATCAGTGTGAATATGTTTATATCTGGTACTTTCAGACCATGTCTGTCAATCAGCAGAGCGGAAAACTAAACTAAAAATGGCACGAGTGAACGTGTTTATGCGGGTGTGTTTTCGGTCTGACCTTGTTCTCACCACACTTGGTGCCCTCGTTGACCATGCCTGGGTCAGGGACGTCTGAGCCCAGCAGAAAGTCCACTCCCCAGCAGGTGGTCCCACCAATGGGGGTCTGGATTATGGAGGGCTTGATGCCAAATATAACATTCGACTGAACGTTCTCACACTGAAGCTTCCCACACATGGCATTCCTGAGAGAGAGAGAGAGAGAGAAATAAAGATGTGTAGCAACTGTTCTAGGTTAGACAAGCTTTACAGAACGTTTACAAAAAATCTCAACCTAATCACAGAAATTTCTAAGAAATCGTAGCAGTCAGCTTTCCTCAAAATGCATAAAGTGTTCACAATGGACCCCTGTTTAGTGTAATTAAATAACATTGAGTGTCCAGTTAAAAATGCTGCACTACCAAGCTGTTTTTTGCTGAGTATAACACACTGGGAAAAATAAAACAAAAGTATGACGTGCCATAACTTTCCCACAAGGCACAGTTTGTTTTCTTTTCCCCCCCCCAATGTGTTAAATCCAGCATTTTGCATTTAACTGTATGCAAGTATAGTGATAAGTACCATCCAGAACACACTGAGCTCAGTCAGAGGGTCTGAGTTCAGATATGTAACTGCTTCAAGCAGGAATATCAGCTCTTTCCCTTCTTTTCTTTTCTAATCAAACAGTTTTACACACACAGCGTTAGTACAGCTCAGGAGCTGCTCTGAAACTACCACACCACCATCATTGTAAAAAGTGGGAGTGTGAGATTTGACTGGATCTCTATGAAGGTCACTTTTAACTCATGCTTCTAGTGCAATCAGAATGGACTGGAACACTGCTTAAAATAGTCGGATGGTCTAAAAAAACACACGTTTATTGTGTTAATATTATTGTTTTTGAGGTTGATCTTGCAATGAGAATGCGAATTCACAGCCTGTAAAATGCTGCTGGAGCCAGATCTGTCTGAATGCAGCTTTTCTGATTAAAAAAAACTAAATGTTTCGATCTTGCATCAAGTTGAACGTGGTACTTCTTATCACCCTGCACAGCTCATCCATGGAGGCAGCACAGATAGATTAGTGATATCAGTAATGTGTTGTGTGTATGTATGTCTCTCTGCTGTACTGTACCTGCTTTCACACCTCTTGAAGCCATAGCTTTGGTAGCCACAGTTTCCAAAGCGATCACCTTTAGAGTTTACATCCTTGAAACAAGCCTCAGGAGCAGCCTTCGCATCTGTTCACACACACAGAAGTATTAAGAGTTCACTTTCGGTGTTCTATTAAATAACCTGTATTTGCCAAAGGATAAAATTATGGAAAACATTAAATTCTAAATACATTTCTAAATATTTCTAATAGTTTTATTCAAAATATTTGGAATATTTAGAATAATTTTATTCTAAATATTTGAAATATTTAGAATAATTTTATACTAAATATTTGAACTATTTAGAATAATTTTATTCAGAATAAAATTATCCTAAATATTCCAAATATTTTGAATAAAACTATTATAAACATTTAGAAATGTATTTAGTATTCTATGTTATTCTTTTCTTCTACTCAAAGCATCATGAAGTTCACTTTGTAAGCAGTTACTGCTGTAAAACTACTTGTTTTTATATCAAAGTCACAATTTGAAAGAGTGAAAGTCACAAATTTTAAATGGGGAAATTTAACCTAATTACTCTGAGCTCAACTGGCAATCTGACATACTACATTCACCATTGAAGCCTCAAGTCTGAAACCATGGCTGTGCTGGACTCACTCAGTGAAAAACAAGTCTAAAAAGTCATTTATAGAAAATAATCACAATCAAATCACAATCGCAGAACTGGTCGGAAAAATCAGATATCAGATAATCAGATAAATTCAGATACGCTATGAAAGTTCAGCTTAATACATTAACCAATCACTGAAGAATCTCATTGCAGTAAGGTTAATACAGCATCAGATGGCGCAGTTGAGTCTTGCCACTGCAGTCCTTGAATGCCACAATGATCTTTTTGTATCATTCTACTCATAACTGAGCTGAAAAGCTTGAGTCTATTGTCGGAGACAGACAAGAGGCATTTTAAGTGGCCCAGTATATAGTAGCTGGGCGTATGTTCAAGATGTCTTTTTAAGAATGAATACAAAGAAAAGTCTAGATTTTATGGACAAATTCAGTTTTACACATCCAAGTCTGTACCTTAACCCTTTAAATCCCAGGGATCTATTTGTGAGTCCACTCTTAAATTCCTCACCTTTGTTCCCACAGACCTTACACTTTAGTCGCATGGTAATACTGAATAATTCGAATAGCTAACCAACCCTTAAAAATACATACTTATTGTTTGAAAATCTCCTGCTGTACTTACTGGGGCCGAATATGGCTTGACACTGGCTGTCATAGTGCTGGCACTGGCCGTTGTAGCAGAAGGCCTGGCCCTGTCGGCATGGGTGGCCGTTCTGTTTGAAAACGTCACTCTGACACAGAGCTGACGAGCCGTTACAATACTCAGGCAGATCACACTCATCTGTGCTGCTCCTGCAGACGGTGCCACCAGGAAGGTACTGAGAAAGAGACATTATAGATCATTTGTGAGTCACTGATCTGAAGACAGATCGGAATTTCAGCATGCTGGAGGTACAAAACATAACAGTGGGACCATGTTATCTCCGTTCCTCACGCTACCTATGTCTCAAATGCCTCTTCTCACCTCTTGTTTACTTATTCATGTACTACAGCTCACTGTAACCAGTGGAGATATTACAGATTCTGAACTTTCAAACTGTACCATAACATTCTGACCACCTCCTTGTTTCTGCGCTCATTGTCCATTTTATCAGCTCCACTTACTATATAGGTGCACTTTGTAGTTCTACAGTTACAGACTGTAGTCCATCTGTTTCTCTGATACTTTGTTAGCCCCCTTTTACCCTGTTCTTCAGTGCTCAGGACCCCCATGGACCCTCACAGAGCAGGTACTATTTGGATGGTGGATCATTCTCAGCACTGCAGTAACACTGACGTGGTGGTGGTGTGTTAGTGTGTGTGGTGCTGGTTCGAGTGGATCAGACACAGCAGTGCTGCTGGAGTTTTTAAACACTGTGTCCACTCACTGTCCACTCTATTAGACACTCCTACCTTGTCAGTCCACCTTGTAGATGTAAAGTCAGAGACGATAGCTCATCTGCTGCTGCACAGTTTGTGTTGGTCATCCTCTAGTCCTTCATCAGTGGTCACAGGACGCTGCCCACAGGACGCTGTTGGCTGGATACTTTTGGTTGGTGGACTATTCTCAGTCCAGCAGTGACACTGAGGTGTTTAAAAACTCCAGCAGCACTGCTGTGTCTGATCCACTCATACCAGCACAACACACACTAACACACCACCACCACGTCAGTGTTACTGCAGTGCTGAGAATGATCCACCACCCAAATAGTACCTGCTCTGGTCCATGGGGTCCTGACCACTGAAGAACAGGGTAAAAGGGGGCTAACAAAGTATCAGAGAAACAGATGGACTACAGTCTGTAACTGTAGAACTACAAAGTGCACCTATATAGTAAGTGGAGCTGATAAAATGGACAATGAGCGCAGAAACAAGGAGGTGGTCATAATGTTATGGCTGATCGGTGTAATTACCCCATGCAGTAATAACTCTAGACCTCAAAGGGGGTTGAAATGTAATTAAAACATTAATCTAAATAAATATGAGGATACATTTGAGATTAATACGTTAATGTTTGTGGCAGCGATGTGTATGTGTGGGTTTGCGTATGTGCGTGTAACAGTGATCACCCTGCAGTGTTTGCAGCAGACTCCATAGGCGCACTGCGCTCCAGCTCGAAGCTTGCACGTCTTGGGCTCACAGCAGGGGTCCTTCTCACACTCCTACAACACACACACGAAAATCTGAGCTCTCTGCCTGCGACAAAACCACACACACTCTCTCTCCATCAACATCGAGCTGGATTATTTTTACTTGGGGCGGGTCTTTAATTAAGGCGCTCACCAACAACATCCACGGTCTTAACAGAGTATAAATCTGCAGTATGTAGTATTTACAGCAATAACTGTGGAGTAATTCTAACAGTATGAATCTGCAGTGTGTGTAGTTTTACAGTTTGACAGTAATAACTGCAGAGTCAAATGCCTTCTGTAATAGGCTGAAGCTGGAGCTCCCTCAGTAACAGTAGTCCTGTTCCAGTCCACCCCACGCTATGCAATAACAAAGCCTGCTAACGGACACGGCTTAACGGGGTGCTGTTATTGTTACTGAGTGTGTCCTGTGGTGTGATGCTGACCTTTCAGTCTGGGTTATCGTTGGGAATTTGGAGAAACTATGCAGATACTTTTTACTTTCCTGACAAATTTAATTGCACAGCCTCCTGTGGGAAAACTAATCCAGCTCAAATAGTGCTTAAGGCTTCACACTGTAAAATTGACTGCTATATTTATATTTTTTATTCTGACGTGATCATTCTGCTGTCAGTGAGTGCTGCACATCTGTCATTACAGGGCCAAGTACCTTGTAAAGACCTGTAAACATATTTTATCAACAACTTAAAGCTGTTGCTGACCCACTGTCCACACATCATCGTCAGGCCCAAACCTTGTATTTTTAACATTTCTGTATAATTTGAAAACTCCATGATGAACAGATTAACAGAAATAGTCACACTAGTGTCACACTCAGGCCAAACAACCACATTTGTGTCATTTGAACCTATTAATCTGAATGTAGCCTTAGCATTAAAGCTGTTTCTCTTTGTTTCCATGCAGACTGTACTGAGCTGAGTGGACTTGCCTCCTCAGAGCCACAGTCGCACTCCTCTCCCACGTCCACCAGCTTGTTGCCGCAGTAGGGGGCGCTGTAGGCCTCGTCGGGCCGCGGGACATTCAGCAGGCAGCTACCTCCAGCGTTCAGGATCATCTTCTCAAAATCATCTGCACTGCAGCTGCTGAAGTTGCGTGATCCACTGCGAGAAGAGGAGGCATATGAACGGTTACTGGAAGGAAGGAGGTTACAACCATTTAATCACGCTGTAAGAGAAATCAGATACGACTGATTACGGGAGAGATCAGACTCTGCAACCAATACTCTGACTATCATGCCTCACTGAAACAAGAAGACATTTCTTTTGTGATTTTTTTATGACACATATGAAAGAAAGAGTTAAAACCTGTTAATAAAGAATGTAAATTAAATGCAAATTCATTAAATGACCACATAATAAATAAGGTAATAAGTAATACATTAGGTAATTACAGTATAACAGTAATAATGACTCTAGACCTCTACATAGACACATAGCCCTACACTCACGTTGCCCCTGAGTTCATGATGCAGCTGCCCACGTCGCATCTGCACGACCGTCCGTCGTCGTGGTTCATGCCCAGGTTATGGCCCAGCTCATGAGCCACAATGGAGGCAAACGACACCACGTTCTTATGGGTGAACTAAGGAGAGGACGAGTTGACACACAAACATGTAGGCAGTATTAGTCTGAGTATCAAACTAGGCTCATGCAGCAGATGAAGCTACTGGCAGCAATAAGGAAAGAGATGAGACCAGGCAGAGAAACATACTGCATTAATCCCACCGCCATGACTCCTGGAACAGGCTGTACCCACAAACGCCATCCCTGCTGTACCCCCAAACCCCTTCTTCCTACAGAGAGATAGAGAGAGAGATACAGACTGTATTTAATAATAATAATAATAATAATAATAATAATAACAACAACAACAGTAATAACAACAATATTACTACTACAAATAATGATAATAATAAAACCAACAGTGATGCAGCTCAGTGCTGATCTATAAAAACACTAATATGTATTATCCAAAATAAAAAAATTAAAATTTAGAATTATAATTTTACATAAAACAAACATACAGATTAGATTTTAACATAAATAGAGGAATATGAAAGAAAATATGAGTCAATCTTATGGACCTATAAGTCAATCTAACAGCAAAATAAATATAAAATGGAACTTTATGAACAATAGAAGACAAAAATAAACTATAAAACCAACTAAATAAAACTGTGTAATAGTACATTACACTGTCTCACTCTATTTATTGGTGTAGGAAAGTATTTATTTGTTTTATTTTATTTTATATTTATTATTTATTTACCTTTTTTTTTTTCAATTTATTTTTTCGAAAATGCCTGTTGTTCTTTACATTGTGTGTAAATTTCATGATGAGAAATGTCCCAAAATGACCTGGAAATAAGTCTGGTTCCATTGACTTTTATTAAAAGTAAAGTATGTTTTTTCCTTCTCCTGTGAAGTTACCATTTTGGAGATATGAGGTTTTATGGCTCATAAAGCAGTTATGGATGTAAAAGATATCATATAAACCCTGAATCAGATTTAGCGTGTTTCTGTTTTGGGGAATAGAGCAGAGTGATGTGGCTGTAACGGTGCTGTAATAGTGTGGAGTCGGAGGTGAAAGACAACTAACAGGATGAGCTGGGCGCTGTCATGGCGACGGCGGGACACCAGCTCCTTTTCCCTCCACTGAGTGAACCGGCCAAGAACTTCACCCGCACTGCCGTCCGTATTGATGGGGTTCACCACTGACCAGATCTCCAACCCCACCAACACCACACGGATATTCAGAGGGACATACATCTGAAAGAGAGAGAGAGAGAAAGAAAGAATGAAAGAAAGAACAAATGGTAAAAAAGAAATGATGAAATAAACAAAGTATATATATATATATATATATGGACTTACACTGTCAACAAAGTTGGCGAGCTGCACCATCTCTTCTCTCACCGCGGTCTGATTCCTGTTAGTGTAGTTAAACTGCAGAAGAGAGGGAGAGGGGGAGAGAGAGAGAGAGAGAGAGAGAGAGAGGGTGATGGACTGTCAGGTTGCCTGTCTGTTACACACACATTCAGTGATAAATGTGAGTCATGCATTTCTGAAAAGCCGTCAGCGCTCAGAGTCAAACCATTATACATATACAATAGAGAGAGACAGACAGACAGACAGACAGACAGAGAGAGTGGGAGAGGGGGAGAGAGAGAGAGAGAGAGAGAGAGAGAGATGACAGAAAGACGACAGAGAGACGAGAGAGAGAGATGACAAAGAAAGATGAGAGAGAGGAAAGAGACAAGAAAGAGACGAGAGAGTTAAAGACGACAGAGAGAGAGAGGAGAAAGAGATGAGAGAGATGACAGAGAAATGACAGAGATGACAGTGAGGAGAGAGAGAATGACGACAAAGAGAGAGAGAGAGAGGGAGATCAGAGAGAGAGAGGAGAAAGACGAAAGAGACGAGAAAGAGACAAAAGAGAGAGATGACAGAGACAAGAAAGAGAGAGAGGAGAAAGAGACGACAGAGAGAGTGAGAGAGAGAGAGAAAGATGAGAGTGAAAGATGGAGGGAGATGACAAAGAGAAGAAAGAGATGAGAGAGAGACGAAAGAGAGGAGAAAGAGAGAGGAGAAAGAGAAGACAGAGAGAGAGAGAGAGAAAGATTAGAGAGTGTGAGAGAGAGAGAGAGAAAGATGAGTGAGAGAGAGAGAGAGAGAGATGGAGAGAGAGATGACAGAGAGAGGAGAAAGAGATGAGAGAGAGAGACAAGAGAGAGAGGAGAAAGAAAGAGAGAGGAGAAAGAGATGACAGTGAGAGCGAGAGCGAGAGATGGAGAGATAGAGAGAGATGACAGAGAGAGGAGAAAGAGATGAGAGAGAGACGAAAGAGAGAGGAGAAAGAAAGAGAGAGGAGAAAGAGATGACAGTGAGAGAGAGAGAGAGAGAGAGAAAGATGAGAGAGAGGAGAGAAAAAAAAAAAAATCCAATTTACACAATTTTCCTCCTCAGTCAGCCAAGACTTGTTTTGGTGTCCATAATTATGCTATGGGGCTAACACTGGTACCACTGGAAGTCAATAGTCACCCAAATCTTTTCCGTAAATGCATCCCCACATCGTCTCTCAACCCCTTTAAACTGCATCCAGGTCTTAATTGAGGTTGCACAGATTTGTGTTCTGCTGAAATCTGACTCATTTCCCTTTCTCCTTCTTTATATAAGTGGATTATCTGGTATCTGAAGATGAATAACTTGTACTTAATGTCTGTTTTGACTGGAAATTAAATAAATGTACATGATATACATGACAGATCCTCCCCATGTAAAACTAAACCAGCTAGAATAGTGCTTCAGTCTATGACATCATTAATGCTGTCAGTCTGGACTTTTTGGCCCAATCTTATTTCACCCCTCGCCCCCACCATTTACCCCTAGCCCTCTGCTGTGCGCGTTCACGTCTAGGGGTAGGGTGTCCCAATTCTTGTTGAGATAGAGGGGTAGGGGCGAAGCGTTGGGGCTACATGGCCCTCCAAACGGAGGTTTTTCCAGAGGGTCCAAACAGAGTGATATGAGAAAAAAAGAAAAAACGGCAAGATGGCTAAACAAGAGACCAAAGAAACCCACAAATGTGAGAATTTTCTCTGTTGCAAAAAATACGGTAACCACTGTATTATCTTAGTTTAATGTCGTTTCAGTGTATTAAGGTCGTTTTCTTCATAACAAGCATAAAAAAAACCCTGATAGCATGCTGATGTCTCGGTAGCTAGCTAGCTAACTTTCCCGTTCCACCTTAAATAGTCCAGCAGTATTGATGCCTGTAGCGCCAGGATGGAACTGCTGCACCATTTAAGGTGGAATGAGAAAATTCAAAAGAGAAGCTGGTGAATATCTGACTTCAGCTTCGTATCACCAAAGAATCAGGGGTGGGTGATAATAAATAATTGCCCCCTCTTTGAAAGCATTTGATGCGCTAAATGTAACTAAACCCCAGCAGTGAGGTTGCTGAACGTTTCCCTTCTCTGCTGTCACTGAAGACGGGCTGGGTCGCCTACAGAGCACCAGTAGTAGCCTGCTAATGACGTATTGTGGTTTTGTTTTTTTTTATTTGAGGGTTGTCCCGTTTCGTACGTCAAGATTACGACCACTACCCCTTTTAACTCAGTTCCAAGGGGTTAGGGTGACACTCGAAAACAAGGGGTAGAAAGAAGAAATGGGATTGGGCCTTAATGCCTTTTAAGTGTCATGTTAACATGAGAATAGAGCAGGTGTCCTGCGTTTGTTCTGTTCTGCATTGAGATGCGCAAGAGCATCTCAAATCACAGGCCAACCAGTCAGTCTGCTGCTCTCTGAAAGGCCAGGTTTAGATACATTAACATTGCAACCTGTGAAAGCACAACAAACCCAAAGGTCTGACTGATCTCAGCTTGCGAGCTCTCCTCCATTCTGAGCTTGTGCTGAAGACTCAAGGCCTGATCATCAGACCCATCAGTCTGTCAGACACAGTCAGAGCACCCTCACCCACTGAAACACACCAGCTGGGACAGACTGACAGCATTCATTATTTTAAATAGACCATTCAGTCTTGAATGCCGCCTCAATGGATTACACCGTGACTGAACTGGACGGGGTGGCTGGACTTCCACAGAAAGCAAAGCCAGTAAAATCAGCTTAACCAGCTTAAACACCGCAGTCTGTTGTGAATATTCAGAGGTGCACCAACGCTGCACAGCTGTTCTTGTTCTAATGTCAGTCTGAAATGCTGTGTGTCCTCAGGCGGAGGTTCCAGCTGTGCACCTTCAGAATTAGTACCAAAACATTGTGCTGGCTTTCATGTTAGAAATCAACATTCATAAAGCATACATGTTTTACATGATGTCAATATGGACTACTATGCCATTGTACTGACAGACCTCTTTCAAAATAAAAGTCCTCTTTTTGTATTTTGTTACAAAATCTCTACTATTTTCAGTGAAATGCCTCATTTCTGGACAGCCAAAATAAAAAAGACCTTGCTTTGCCCCTTTGGTCATTAAGTGCTTTGACACTTAGGCACATATCACCTATACCTTCAACTTATTTTTATTTTTTTGTTTTTTCTTAAGTATTTATATTTTGCAGGGTTAATTCAACAGTCAGTACATTATTGAGGAAAATGTTATTTATCCTGAGTGTAACTCTCTTGGGGTTAAATGCTCGCAGTATTATCCCAATGATTAATGAGTCCCATCACCATACTAAGATTCAGTTGAATCAATGTTCATAGTACAGGGTGATTCAAAAAGATTCATCCAATTTCAAAATGATTTATTTGCCTTGTAAATCGTTACAGATCAATGCAGTAAACTGTAAATGGTTTAAATGAGCATAAAGTTTATTATGTGATTGTACAAGTGCTCAATATGAACCTCCTCCAGCTGTACAGACAACATCAACACCATAGTCAAATTCATCCCATACTCGATTGAGCATGTCGGGTGTCGCTGCACTCATGGCTCTTTCAGTGCGATTTCAGAGATCATCCAGTGTTGTGGAACCAACGCCGAACGCTCTGAGCTGTTGGAGCTTCACTGCCCATGAAAATCACACTGCACAGTTATGACGGATTCACTCTTATTGAAGTGGAGAACGCGGAACACTTTCTGCTCAGGGGTCTCCATCTGCTTGCAGACTGAAGGGAGCCATCTTCCGGTCAGAAACTTTGTGACCCCCTCTTTCAATTGGATTGTGATTGGTTCCTAGGCGCCTCACGGTTGTAAAAATACGGCACTTTGAAATCGGATTAATCTTTGTGAATCATCCTGTATATTTATGTGCAACTGAGAGTCCGTATAGTAAAGCAGCATGTAAAGAAACAATCGACGAAACGTTTCTAAGTGTCAAAGCACTTGACCAAAGGAGTACAATAAGGTCATTTTTATTTTGGTGGTACATCTGGGGTAGTGTTAGAGCACCTTCATAGCATTTTGTTATTGGGATATTTAAAAATTTAAACAGCAAAAAATGCTGAAATGTCCATAATAAGACGCCACTTGCACGCACTGAAATATTTAATAGTCTGTGTGTGTGCAATGCTGACTGTGTTTGCTTGTGTTGCTTTGCTCATTCCCACTTTTTTCCTTGTACACTAATTCAATAGGTCAAACAGTCAATCAGAGAACTCCCTTTAAATTGCTGACTGCTGACATTGATGCTGATTCAAGATGCTAAATTAGCCAAAATGCCACTGATGAGGGCTGACTAGAGCCAACCGTGCGGGACGCACTGCACAAACTACAGGTGGCGGTCAGCCACAGACACTCAATAACGGCCAAATGGCGTCTGACAGCTGACAGTCAGCTTCTTGTGTCAGGGACCCTAAAGAAGCAAATATCAAACACCAAACTGCATTTGGCTGAGGGGTGACGTTCGAGTTAAGGGGGGGACTGTGTAAATATAATATTTTCCCAAACCACTACTTTAAGAAAGACAGGGGACTTACTCTTTCATTGTCGACCACCAGCAGGAGCTCTACATAATGCGTCTGGTGCATCACTGCCCTCTTTTTCTGCAGGTGGGATACATACATGTGGACATGATGTTGGTTAGACAGACATCTGATCAGACAGACACTCCAAAAATAACAGGAAAAAACTAAAACACATGCACAAACAGTCTTTTTGCTGATGAGGTAATCGGTGCTATTCTCTCACACTGACCCTGATCAGATGACTGACAGATTGACCGGGGGTGATATCGTGAGCCTGGCTATCCTCTGCGTGTCCGGGTGATGCTTGGTCGTCATGGTGATCAGAATGGGGTGTTCCGCAGGTCAGAGGCTCCGCCTTCACGTCCTCCAGCTGGTAAACCAGGTGCTCGTTATCCACCGAGCCCTCCAGCGGCTCAATGCCCAAACTAGTGTTCTCCATGTGTATCACACCCCTGACACACGCACACACACACACACACGCAAACACACACACGCACACACACACACACACACGCAAACACACACACACACACACACACACACACACTTTAGCACCTCTCGACTCATTTTTATGTATTTTTAAATACTAAATTATTGGTATTTAATACAGACAACACTATTCCAGTCACATGCAAAAGTTTGGGTACACTTGGTTTGACATGATTTGTTGATTTTCTTAGTGCAAATAAGTGAACACATCCTTCACAGAGAACACAGTTCTGCACATTTTAATGCACAATTACTGTTTTTTTGCTGAATTTAGTATATTGGGGAAAAAATAAAACATAAAAAGTGTATTACTGTTAAACTCAGCAAACAGGTAGAACTTTTGCACTAAAAGCTGCAGAAAAATGCTGTTTTTAAGTTTGTTCCCTGTAGAAGACGTGTCAGCTTATTTTTACTTAAGTGTGAAAACTTTCACATATGACTGTACCTTGGTTTTTATTACTAAAATATTAAGAAATAAGTGATACAACACTAGTAAAAGAACACTGATGCACTTGGAAATGAGTTTTCCTACCGTAACCCAGAGCACAGGCTCAGGGCAACCGAAGAGCCGCCAACATCCTCCACGTATCCACGGTAATGACAGTGGTTCTGAGAGAGAGATAGAGACCAAGAAAGACACAGAGAGAGAGAGAGAGAGAGAGAGAGAGAATGTTTTTAATTCATTAAAAATTTATGTCCCTTCACCGATAAAATACTAAGAATGCACAGATATAAGAAACCTGGGCCGATACTGACATCCAATATTTCCTATTTACATCTGCCGACACTGAAACTGATGCAGTTACACAAACATGTATAAAATGACGTAACTGGGACTTTATCTACCTGGATGAGTAACACAGAGAAGGGTTACAAGTGCAGTAAAATAAAATTCTTTTCTGGAGGTCAATAAATACACTCTTGGTTCAAGATGGTGCTTCAGAGGTTCTTTAGTAAAGAAAATGGTTCTATACAGAACCATGAACACTCAAAGAACTCTTTGCATGAATGTGATACAGATGAAAAGGGGTTCTATATAGCACCCAAAAGGGTTCTTCTACTGTTACAAGCTCGACAACGTAACAATAGAAGAACGCTTCTGGGTGCTATATAGAACCATTTTCAGAAAGGTTCTATATAGAACCATCAACAGCACATTCTCCATCAATGTGAAGAACCCTTTCGTGATACATACAACCCTTTAATCGTGCAAAGGGTTCTATGAGTGTTCACGGTTTTATACAGAACCATTTTCTTTACTAAAGGAAACTTATTTCTAACTTATTTTCACCTACAAAACAAACAAAACATATAATTTGACCACATTTATTCAAACTTTTACATAAGATTGTATGAATGATCTCTGGGCACTGCGTCTCTCAGTAACGTATGTCCAGTTCTAGTGGATAATCAACGTCTCAGTTCCACACGGGTGAGCAGGAGATGCTCTCAGAGCCAGATCCAGACGAGTTAAGCACTAATAGGATTCTGGAGTGTTCTGCAGCCTCGTCTTCTCAGCACTTACAGCTTTCTGTTACTAATCACATTACGTAACCACGTCAACCTGGTCGTTAGAGGCTACTGACATCATCCTCCGCTGGACGAGTTCTATCCCTGCTGTCTACCAGCTCAGACCTGCCAACACACTCAAAGCCCCCTCTTTAATCTCAGGTTCCGTTGGTACTAATATAGCATTGGAGCTGTGACAAAAGAAAAAATGTATTTAAACACACAACCAACAATATTTACTATTTTCTCATGTTTGTCATTTGAATTGAAATAAAAATAAGAATACTATTAATAAGATACAGTACTGTGCAGAAAGACCACCACTGACTTGCATCATTTCCAGCAATTAGGTACAATTATTTATTATCAGGAGACATTTTTGAGGAGATTAGATATGAGATAATCCACCTATATAAGCAAGATGATCAAACTGGAGCTCCAAAACTCAAAAAATAATTAAAAGCTACAGAGAAAACAGGACTCCTAAGAACCACCTGGAAGACCTTGTAGACCATCAACACTGTCAGATAAACAGCACTTAAAGCTTTCATCTCTGAGAGAGAGGAGAAAATCAAGCTGCTTCAGATCTGAAAACATCCACAGGGGTTTCTGTCCATCCTTCCACTGTGAGAAGACGACTCAGCGCTGTGGGTCTGAAAGGATGTGTAGCTGTTAAGAACCTCACTGTCTGTGTTTACATGCAAAGATTCAAGCCAATCTGACTGAATACACTCTGATTATAGATGAAGACTGAGGTGTTTATATTCTCACTCTACTCAACAATCTGAGGGAAATCTCTGTTTACATGCTCACTACAAGTAATCAGATCCAAAATTACACGCATGCGTAGAGAACCACATAGTGCAGACGTTACCATGGCAACCAGCATCACGTGAGTCCAGTCAGAGTGAGATGAGCAGCAGTGAGCAGTGCTTGTGTTTTTAATAGCTTTAAAATGATGTCAGACTCAGGAAAACGTCCTTCACATGTCCTTATTAAAGAAGGCCGAGAGGAAGACGTCGTGTTCTGAGACACAACGTCTTTTAAAGATCAGAGCATAAACTTCGTCTCGTCTGCAGACCAGTTTCTGCTCCGCCATGTTGACCGGCATACTTAAACTTTGACTAGAACGGACTTAAACTTTCAGATAGGGAATGTAATCGGATACAGGCGTTTACATGGTTATTATTCTTATATTTAACGGATTATTTACAGGATTACCCACCTCGTTCAATCGGATAGAAACTGTATTCTGAATGGCCTCAATCAGACTAGACTAGTCCGACTGAGGTGTTTACATGGACGTATTCTATTCCGATTGAGCTATTAGTCGGATAATTAACGGATCATCAGTCTGCATGTAAATGTGGCTACTGAGAAAAGGAGACAGACACATCAAACAAAGAAGCTGCTGGTAGTCCAGACCTCCAGACCTCAACATCACTGAATGTGTTCATTATTTGGATTGGAAGAAGCAGAAAATGCAACCAAGTTCTAAGACTGAACTTTGGTAGTGTGGAAACATATCCCTGCAGATTTCTACGAAAAACTGAAAGCAAATATAGACGTGGAAACTGATCTTCACAGAGTCCCGGCTCACAGAGACAGGAATTTTTATCATTGCCCGAGGGAGCTGATAAGTGCAGCTGACCCTTTGCATCCAAGTCACATGATTATCAGAAAAACACTCACTCCGAAATGCATACACACTTCCTGCATCGTTCCCACAGGAGTGTGCAAAGGACTTCCCTCCATGTGAGCTGATCCCATAACTGCTTCCCAGCCTCAGCTTTGAAGAGTGACATTCCTTCCGGAACTGCTCCTTCCTCCGGTTTTCTCATCTGAGCTGCCTGCTCTACTCTAACAGGCCTTTTCTCTCTGGGGAAAACGCTGCTAAAAAAATAAATCACTCGTTTCTGGACTTTTGACCACTAAAGCTGAAGATGCATCAGGAGCTTCGACTGACCCTTTAATGCCAATGCAAAACAGCATTATATAGTACATCATTCATCTTCAACAACGTTATCAATACTGTTGACGCATGTATCTGACAGTAAGGACCTGACAGTGAAGTTAAAAATCTGCTCATTCTTACTTTGTGTCACCAACTACACTAGATGTCCAACAGTGTCCAGACACTCCTTCTATTGCGTGAATTCACCTACTTCAAGGTGCCGTCATTGTTGACACAGGCGTTCAATTGCACAAGCAGAGCTTGTATAATCTTTATAGAAAAGCAGCTACCAATAGAATAGGACGCTCTGGAGCAGCCGCACATGAGCCTAAGACAGTGGTTGGCAACATGCGGCTCTTTTACTGCCCTGTTGAGGCTCCACAGCAGAATCAGATTTCTAGGTAAAAAATAAAAGAATTCTATCTTAATAATCGAAATAAAGCTCTGCTGGTCGTTTTAACACAGTTTTAACAATAAATGGTCTTAAATGCTGGAGTTAATGTAGAACTGCTAATTCACCCTTTAACCCTAAAGGTTGGTGCACAGACTGCTGGTCACCATAGCAGTGCAGACAACAATCCCGCCTAGCTAGTAGCTAACGAAACGGCAAAGAGACAGATTTAAGACAAACATCGATCATTTGGAGAGGAATGAACTTATTTGCATTTATAATCACTCCAGCTGGTTTCCTAATACGTTCAATTTGCAGTTGGCTTCTCTTTCACCAGCCTCCTGTTCAAATTTTCCCGTTCCACCTTAAATGGTGCAGCAGTTGCACTCTGGAACCTCAGTCACCATTTAAGATGGGACGGGAAAATTCGAACAAGAAGCTGGTGAACAAGAAGCGACTTCAGCCTCATAAAAAAAATTAGCGTTGAGAGACATTTTACAAGAAACTGTTCTACTTTTGCGGAAAAGTTTCCTGCTGGAGATGCGAGAAAAGCAGCTATAGCTGAGCTGAAGCTAAGTAAAGTAAAGCAAAGTAAGTCTGAGTTGTGAGTGATATTTTTAGTCTATATTAGTACATCAGCACATACTGAGACACATTCACAGCCAAGATGGTAAAACAGACAAAGTGTTGTGGCTCCCAAGGTGGTTTGATATTTGTTGAAAGGACAAAACGCCTCTTCTTAACATTTGGGCCGTCGACCCCTGGCCTAAGGTCACCATGCCCAATGCCAAGTGTCTGCTAGAGGGGTATAAAGCCCCAGCATTGGGACTGACCTCACTAATGCTCTTGTGGCTGAATGCAATCAAATCCTTTAAGCAATGTTCCAACATTTAGTGTAAAACCTTCCCAGAAGAGTAGAGGCTGTTACTCTAGCAAAAGGGGGCGGGGGGGACTATTCTCATTGCTGACACAGGAGTCTGGAAAGATTTGGACATTTAGTGTATATTAGAATTCAATAAAAAACACACACACACACACACACACACACACACACGCACACGCACACACACACACACCTAAATACTGTTTGATGACACACTTTCATGTCAATTTGCACATTAGGTGTGACCGACTCGTCTAACTCTGAGGCGTATTTTCAGATTAAAACATCACTGTGAGATGAGATCAGACAGGAAATACCTACAGTGTGGTGTCCAGTTAAACAGGAAATAATCAGGATGCTTTCCTAAGTACTGATGAGTCAGGAATCAACTGGAGTTTTGTGGTGAGCTCAAAATCTGCAAAGAGTGAATCCTGACCACAGTTGCATAATATAACGAAAGTCCACTGATTTTTCCTTTCAATTCTTTTAATTCCTGAAACATATTGGCATCAGCTTGCAATTCTCACGTTGGTGCATCCCTAATGTGGTTGGTATTGTGTAGTGGGTAACATCTCTGCCCTCTATGCTGTAGAGTCGAACTAATCAATCATTTAAACTAATCAAATTAATCAATCACCCATTACAGAACTGACTCTCTGTGTGTTTTTCCTTTCTTTCTTTTTGTTGCCGAGTTGAACAGCTGCCCATCCTGTGCGTCTGATGCTGCTGCCTCTTCTGCCTTGATCGGGTGCCACTGCTCGCCGTGCAAACCTCACCCTCACAACCTGACCCCACTGATGCTGCTGCTGCCGCCGCTGCTGCTGCATGAACTAAACTAACTAATGCTCCACCTGTTTTCCCTGTTTTTGTAC